GTGAGGTGTGACTGCATGTGTGCATGTGTGCCCCATCCTCCGTGTATGTGTACCGTGAGGTGTGACTGCATGTGTGCATGTGTACCTCATCTTCCATATATGCGTACACTGAGGTGTGACTGCATGTGTGTGTGTGTGCATGTGTGCCCCATCCTCCGTGTATGTGTACAGCGAGGTGTGACTGCATGTACGTGTGTGCATGTGTGCCCCATCCTCCGTGTATGTGTACAGTGAGGTGTGACTACATGTGTGCATGTGTACTTCATCTTCCATATATGCGTACAATGAGGTGTGACTGCATGTGTGTGTGTGTGCATGTGTGCCCCATCCTCCGTGTATGTGTATAGTGAGGGCTTGTTGTGTATGTTTAGGCGTGTGTGTGCAGTGTTGAGTCTCCTTACAGGCATGACTTGGGTGTGTGCCCTGTATGCTGAGGCGTGATTATCTGTGCACCATGTCGGAGACCCGTGTGCTGCGTGTCACTCATCGTGTGGTCTGTGTCCTGCAGCGTTGTGGCTGCACTGCAGCTTTGTAAACCAGTGTGTGCGGCACTTGTTCTCTGAGCACACACCTGTGTCATGTGCACATCTGTGTTCTGAAGAACCAGAGATGAACTGTGCATGTCTGGGCCAGGTGGAACTGTGCGTGTGCACCGAGTCGTGCTCATCCATGTCACCTGTATACACTCATGCCCCGACGTGGGGTGTGGTGAGTGTGTGTGCACCTACCTGCAGACTTGGTGCCTGGTGCTGTGGGTGTGCGTGTGCGTGCTCGGGCTAAGGGGCAGTGTCCCATCCTGAGCACATTACTCTGGCCCGCATCGTCCTGACCACCCGTTGTCTCTCTTGCCACCTCCCTAGGAGAGCTGTGCCCGCGTCCTCCTCTTCCGTGGTGCCAACAAAGATGTTCGCAATTACAACAGCCAGACAGCCTTCCAGGTACAGGTGGTCCTGACCCCGGGAGGCTGCGCCTGGGCTGTGCCATCTGTCCGTCTGTCTGTGCCTGTGTGACTTGCCCTCTCTGAATGTTGGTTCTCAGCTGGAAAGCAATCAGGGAGCCCCAGCCCAGATTGCACTGGGTGGGGTGCAGGAAGGAGGCCAGAGCGGGGTGTAAGGAGGGGTCCCCTGGGGACAGTTCCCTGATCTTCTTCCAGGGAGAGAGGAGCCAGAAAGGACAGGAGGTTCTGGGGGAGGAGATGAGGTATAGGCCAGAGCCCTAGGATAAAGTGTGGGCCAGACCCCCAGAGGCGGGCCGGCATAGAGGCCAAGCTGGGGCATTGCGAGCCACCACTGGCACAGTGTGGCCATGTTTCTTGAGCCCCTGCTCAGGCGGGCTGAGCTCTTGGCGTGGGATGAATCGGGGACAAGGTCCCTGATGGTGGGGCCTGGAGTTTGCTAAGTGGGGCCACATCACAGGCCCTCTGGACCGTAGGAAGGGCGTGGACTCTGTTCTCAGTGGTGGGGACCCTTCAGAGGCCTCTGAGTGTGACGGACTCGCCTTGAGTTAGGTCTCAAAAGGATCAGTGTTGCAAGACGAGTTGTGAGGAGCATTCAAGACTACAGTGGTGTCTGTGTTAAGGGTCAGCTAGGTGGTGGCCGGTGTGAACGGGCATGGGCATGTCGGAAGGTAGATGCAGGCAAGGCAAGTGTGAGGCTGTGGTGGGGCTGTCTGCTGAGCTGGGATGGGCTGGGGGCTCCAGGGGAGGTTGCAGGGGTGAGTTAAGAGTTCCAGGTAGGGTGGTCGATGCCCTGGCTCAGTCCTGAAGGGCCCGTGTCCCCAGAGCCCCCCTCAATCCAGGCAAACTGCACGGTGGTCGTCCCAGGCGTAGGGGGGTTAGACTGAGGCCTGTGCAGCCAGGGAGGGGGAGGAGCTGGAGGGCTAAGGCCTGGGCCCCACCGAGGAAGGCCCCCAGAAGAGCCTGAGAACTGACAGGGGTTGGGGCTGGGGGCTGGGGGCCTCTGAGCTCCCCCCTGGGACATCAGCCCTCCCTCAGCGACCTTGCAGCCCAGATTGGGAAAAGTCAGCTCCTGTTTCCTCTGTACCCCATGAGAGGTGGATTTGTCTCGAGGGGCCGGACTGTGGCCTGTGTCCTCTCCCGTCCCCTCCCCCATCTCCCCTTGGCCTCAGTGCCTTGCCCCGACAGGCCTCTGTGGGTCCCTGGGCAGGTCTGCTTGGCTTGCCCCTGCTCTGCCCCGCCCACCTGCCATGTCCACGGTGCTCACCTCTGTCCCTGTGTGGCACACAGTAGGCCAGTGCTCGCAGAATGAGTGGTGGCTGCTCCACTGGTATGACATGTCCACGCTCCTGTCTCCGTCCTACCCCCTCACCCTGCCCCCCAGGTCGCCATCATTGCTGGGAACTTTGAGCTCGCCGAGGTCATCAAGACCCACAAAGACTCTGATGTTGGTGAGTCCCCCCCGCGGCCCTTGAGCATGGACTCGTGTGGTCGTCGAGCCCCCCGACCTTCCTCCCTCTTCCACTCTGCGAGGTCAGTGGTCAGTGGCCCTGCAGGGTGAGGACAGCGTGGGATGGGTTATGCATGGGGTGGACGGAGGTTTAGTGTCAGGGCCACTGTGTCCCACTGGGAGGCCTGCAGGGGTCAAGGCTGTGGCTCTCAGCCACTGGCCCTTGTGTGAGCCCCAGCGGCCCCCAGGGACAAGTCAGAGTCCAAGCACGCGTCAGAGGGACAAAAGCATGTCAGGGGGTGGGACAGGCCTGGACCAGCCCAGCCTGCCCTAGGGCCCAGGGGCTAAGGCCCCTGCTGTGTGGGGACTAAGAAGGAAGCGCAGGGTGGGGCAGGGCCGTCGTCCGGGTGCCCGAGTCTCTCTCTCATGTGTAGGGTGGAGGAGCTGTGGGAGAGGCTGGGGCAGCTGTGTCTGACCATAGGCATGTCGAAGGTGGATGCAGGCAAGGGAAGTGTGAGGCTGTGGTGGGGCTGTCCCTTCCTGACGCCTCCACGTTCTGGCCTTGCTGCCTCTGGCTTTTTCTGGAACAGGCTCCGACTCCCTTCCTGCCCTGAGTACTCGCTTGTGAGCATGGGGTGGGGGTCCACTTTTAAAGTTAAAAGTGACAGTGGGCGGCGGAGGGCAGACTGGGGTTAGGGTCAGAGTCCTGCCTGGTTCTTACGTGAGGTTAGGGCTGGCTTTGAATTTTGACCTGGTGTTAGGGTGAAGGTCAGGTTCTCCCCCGATGAGGCAGGTCCGTGAGCTGAGGGATGGCTGGGTGTCCCTGTGCCCTACACACTCGGTGTGGTGGAGCCTGTACGCTTGGCAGGTCTTGCTGAGGGAGGCTGAGCTGATGGGGCCTGTGGGGTGGGCGTCCAGGTTC